AAATTTGAACAATGTGATGTGATGATGTGTACATTTGACATGTTACATTTAAGGGCAATTCCACATGAGACACTGAAAAAATAATATTTTCATTTTTGGAAATATATTTATTTAGTAGATTTAATGTATTTTGAAAGCTTGATAACTATATTGACTGGAATTGTTAAAATTTTGTCACTACTTGCCATGCCCATTCCATATCAGCCACTCAAAAATTTATATTGCTTATGATTAAAATTGGAATTCCACCCACAATTTTAACTCTGCAATTAAAATTCTGCTAAGGGGAGTAAGGCATTCATTTTGCCACGAAAGTATAGCTATTACCTGTACCTTTCAACTGTCAAAGAAAATCTCAGAAATACTTAATGTCTTCTTCAAAATAAATTTTCAAACTTCTGTTGTGGACATAAGGTAATGTCCACAATGTTTGCGCCTTCAAGTTTAATTTCTAGTAAAACTGGAATCTCAATTCAGAAGCTGTTTATGTTGTTCTGTGAGCTTGATACAAGGATCATTTTAGAATCAAAATGCTGTTTGCATCTCACTTTGGTTATTCAGAAATTTCACCTAAAGTTTGATGTAGACATTACGTTGTGGACATTACAACATCCTTTTTTCCCAAAATGATTTGATATTCTCCTCATTTTCTCCAAAATGATGATGGAAATCAAGATACTAGTTCTTCAACTTTAGTTAGGAATCTTTTCCTTATTAAAAAAAAAAAAACAGTTTGATTGTTCATTTAAAGTTCAACAATAATTTGAAGTAAACTTTAATTGCCTTGTCTACAAAACTGCAACTTTGAAAACATGGGAACGAAGAATGCTCTAAATGGACTTACAAAATGTACTAGCCATGATTACGTACACAAAACAATCATGCTTCATCAAGCATAGAAAAGATCTTTAAATCAATAAAGTAGAAACTATATCATATAGTTACTTAATTGATATAAAGATCTTTTCTATGTCTTTTTGAAGAAAGGGAGTAGTTAAAGGACCTGTGCTCTCAATAGTATTGATAATAATAATTACTTTATTTCAGTGTCAAACTTCTAGCTAGCCTGTAATAGGCTTACTAATCTTTTCCTTATTGAAAAAAAATGGTTTTATTGTTCATATAAAGTTGAACTATAATTTTGAATGGTCAAAGGACCAAAGAAAACTGAAGAGACAGGCTGTGTTGTTATCTGCTCTTCCATGAAAGTCAACTTTGAAAGCTCCTGCTCTGTGTAGATATCTAAAGGTCACCATCTGGTTTTCTACACTCTGTGCTCTGCCAATGTAGTAGTTGGTGAGGTACTCTACTGCACAGGACTGGTCTACTGTAATATTGGGCTCAGGGATCTTGAACACATTGTACCTTTTCACATCTTCTTTTAGCTCTGCCTTAAACTTTTTGTACCTTTCTGTGCTTGTTTTTGCCATGATAATTCACTAAGTAAGTTTTGGTATTTGATAATGTTAGAAAGAGGGGATGTCAGTTAACTGGTCAGCAGTCTTCATTACTGAGCATGCTCATTACTTTATGCAATCAGTGAGCATGATGTCATTCAAAACACCACTGACTATGTATAATATAAATTTTTTTTATTTCAGAATTTCTAAGGCAATTTCAAATTTTGCTAAATTAAATTCTTTATTTGGGTTTTCTCTGGTTTTAAAAAAAGGTTTTATAAAAAGGTATTTTTGCTGCTTCTGTCCAAGTTTACCTTGGAATTGCTTTATTTTCTAATATAATCATATAACAAAGCTTGCTAAAAATGGTGTGTATACTCAATAAAAGGCTATTAAATTGTCCTGAATAGAAGTAAACATAATGCAGTTATTATAGTTTTTTTGGCCATGTTATTATCATAAAATAATTAACATTCATAAATATTATGGGATAGCTTATAAGCACCAAAAGAGCAATAAGGTATTGCATTCACACATAACGTCCTTAAAATTGCATGTTATATCAATACAATACCTTAATACCATTATTTTTACCATATCCCCAAATTGTAATGTCCACAACAATTTTTCTGTAATGTCCTCAACACATGTTTTTACTTACTGCAAACACACAAAGCTATTCTGGGTGATTTTTTCAACACAGTTATAAACTTTCATCTTTAGGGAACATTTTAAACCATTTTACAAGTTTATACCTTTTAACATTTCACAGGAAAATGGAATTAAAAATAATCACTACAATTATTGGTTGATTTTTTTGTAATATCCACAACACACATTCTTTGATTTATATCTTTGCAAGGAAAATACACAAGTTATTTCTTTTTTCACAAAAATGTGGGGGAGGACCATTAGTTTCTAGGCCCAAACAAAAATAATCCTAAAGTTATATTACTAAGCACTTAAGAGAGAGATCAAATGACAATTTTAGCTTCTGAACGTAATGTCCACAACGTGGAATTGCCCTTAATTACATTTTGAACTTCTGTAGCAAATGAATAATTACTCCTCCTCTAGTGTAAAGAGTCAGTGTTAAGGCTGCAATAATTCTGTAGTCAGTACAAATTGAAAGAATAGAACTTAACATAAAGGGTCAGAGAAATGATCTAAGCACCTTGTCAGAAATCACACCACACCTAGTCATGAATTTGTTTCCCTGTGGACAGATATTTATTCAAGGACTTGTAAATCTCAACCGTGCAGTACACGAAGACATTGTTGCTGTGGAGATTCTTCCAAAGAAAGAATGGACCTGTCCATCCTCATTAGTAACAGCAGCAAAACCAGCTGAACATGATTCAGTTGGTGACGATGAAGATAACAACAGTATTGATAAAATGGTACGCATATGATTGCTACTCTATGGCATCCAAAAGCAAGAGATTATGATGTCCCAATTAATTTACAGGAGAGTATGTCCCATTTATTCAAAATTAGGAGAACTAAGATTTTTAAGAAACAACAACTTTCTCATCTGCTGCATAAAGGTTGAGACCCAAGGTATACTGACATTCACTCTACTTGCATAAATATAGATGTCATCATTTGTTGAGCTTGAAAATCTCTCTCTATCATCTAAACCTGGGCATTCACAAGTGCCAACATTGTACATACGAGCTTGCTGATTAGCAAAAGTTGCACTTAAATGTCACTCATTGCTGCAGTCTTTTACATAAGAGTGTTTATTGGTATCTAACATGTAGTTTACATTTCCTCTCATTGGGCTTGCTGTGGTACTTTTTCTTTTACACCCATCCTTTTGGTCTCAGTTCTCCAGGCTGTCTTTTAAAGGCTTTACACCTTGACAATGACAGCAAGGGTTTGTTTACTTTTAGACTGAATCAAAGAAAAAACTGAAAACAAAAAAAGTGTTGTCAGGAAAGGTACGTAAACTATAATTGTTTTAACAGACTAAGAGGGGTGGTAAAGTATAAGCTTGCATGCAGGCTATCAAATAAAGAACTTTGAAAGGAGTTATTCAAATTTGTTGGGAAAGTGGAAAAAGAAGTAATCCTAGCTCATGAGGGTAATTAAATCCTTGACCTTCAATTTTTGCACAGTGATGTTCCACCACAAATGGATATTTTTGATGGCTAGGGCTAGACAACAAGTATTTCCTCTGTTTAATGAACTGAAAACATTTTCCTTTATTCCACCTGTGAAATAAAATGTTGCCATCTCTCTGACTCTAGTTACACACATACACAAAGCTTTCATATTTGCTGATCATAGTAGTATGTAGCATATCCAAGTGTCATATGTGAACCTTGTTATGGCTTACCTGACCACTGTAATTCAGTAGTACAACATAGTCTCCTGAAATCTGTAGGTATGGGGTCTAATTCCTTACAGATCACTCAAAGTTTTCCTCATTCCACACTTGTAGTAAAAACAACTCGGTTCTTTACTTAAATATAGCCTCTTTTTACAGGCCAAGGTTGTTTACCTGGATATAGTTTGTAGATTGATTTTTATGTTTTTCATTGTGCACAGGTTGTTGGTGTGATTAAAAGAAACTGGCGCCCATACTGTGGAGTGCTGTCCAAGTCTGCAAAGTCTCAAGTAAAGATGGTTTTTCTGACTTTCTTTAATTTATTCTTCCAAACTACATTTTAAATGTTCATAGTAAAAATTACACATATTACCTCTCATTTGTGGCATGTTCTTCATGACTTGTATTACCGGACGTTACAGGATATGTTGTGATTCATACTAGAGGAGAATAAAAGCAAAGAATGAAATATAAGAGGTTCTACATGTAAGGAGATTACAGAAATTTTGACTATGGCTAGTTTAGACCATTCCACTGAACAAATAGAAAACACAACAGTGGACACTACTGAGTTATGGATGCATGTGGGAGGTTGCTAAGCATGAAAGAAGGGTAAGAGTTGCACAACGTGATGGGCAAGAACGACTCTAGCTTCTTGAGTGCATAGGAAACCTCCCATGTACATCCATAACTCACTAGTGTATGCTGTGGTGTTTACCATTTTTTTTAGAACACAACATTGATATATTGTAGCACAAGAATTCCCTTTTATTCAACACTGAAATCTTACATGACCAGAAAAAACAAGTGCGCAAAAACTAGTCTTTGCATTTGCTCACCCTATGCAGTATACACCCATGTGCAAATGGTGGACACTGAAGTGACCAATCATAGTGCATGCTTTACTTTGGTTATGTTATAAAATTTCTTGGATTGAGAAAATCAGAAATAAACAATGACAACACCCTGAATACGATTATGACCATTATCCACTTTGTCATTGCAAAGAGCACAAGACATCTGTTTGTGGCATCAGAGAGGAGAATTCCTCGAGTTACCATAGAAACACGCCAGGCATCATCACTTGAAGGGCAAAGGATTGTGGTTAGCATTGATTCATGGCCTCAGAATTCAAAATACCCTGTGGTGAGTAAAATTCCATTTACACTTTTTGAGTTATTTTTTTAAAAAAAGTAACTATATGTTAGCGTATAGATTGGTGTATTGT